GGGTCGCTCTCGCCGGCAGTTGCCGGCCTTGTTGTCTTCGCGAAGACGTCTCATGAGGCCTGGACCATCCTTGAGCGCACCTTTGCAGCGCAGTCCCAGGCTCGTGTCTCTGCACTCCGTCGTCAGCTTGGAGAGTGTCAGAAGCTTGACTCCACTGCCACTGAGTTCTACAACAAGGTCAAGGGCCTCGCCGACACATTGGCCTCCATTGGACAGCCCCTCACCGACTCCGAGTTCAACTCGTTTATTGTCAATGGTCTTGATGAGGAGTATGATGCCTTAGTCGAGATCATCAACGAGCGGGGCAACTCGACACCCATGCTGGCACATGAGGTTTTCTCTCGGCTCCTTCTCACTGAGCAACGGGTCGAGACTCGCCGCACCAGGGGCACTGGCTCCCCCTCGGCCAACGCCGCCACCAAGGGTGGCCGCTCTTCTTCATCACCCCGGTCTCCCTTGGGGCTGCCACCGTCGCCCGCCTCGGCCCTCCCACCTACTGCGACCTTACCGGGGGCTGGCGGTCCACATGCGTGTCAGCTTTGTGGCCGCGATGGGCACTGGGCCTCCAAGTGTCATAAGCGCTTCCAGCGAAGCTTCCTTGGTCTTGGAAATGACGGCAAAGATACACGCAACAATGCCCGTCAGGTCGCCATGGCTGATCGTCCCGCGCCGCAGAAGCAACAGGGACACACTCAGTCCTACTCCATCGATCCACACTGGTACATGGACTCTGGGGCGACAGAGCATCTGACCAGCGAGATGGGGAAGCTTCACACTCGTGAACCCTATCATGGCTCCGACAAGATCCACACCGCCAATGGAGAAGGTATGCACATCTCTCATATTGGTCAAGCATCTCTTCTCACTAGACATGCCAATAGGAATCTTCAGCTTCGCAATGTTCTTCGAGTTCCATCTGTGACCCGTAATCTTCTTTCAGTTCCTAAACTCACACGTGATAATAATGTGCTTTGTGAATTTCACCCTTTTGATCTTTTTATTAAGGATCGGGGCACGAGGGACATTCTTCTTAGTGGGCGGTTGTGCCAGGGCCTCTACCGTCTGGAGCATCCTGGCGTCGCTCGCGTTTTCAGTGGAGTTCGGGTCTCTCCGTCACAGTGGCATGCTCGTCTTGGTCACCCGGCCACACCTATTGTCCGTCATATTTTGCGTCGTCATGAGCTTCCTGGTTTGTCTAGTAATAAAGATGTAGCAGTGTGTGATGCTTGTCAGCAGGGGAAGAGTCATCAACTTCCTTTTTCGGAGTCCAGTCGTGAGGTGAAACATCCTTTAGAACTTGTGTTTTCAGATGTATGGGGTCCTGCTCAGACTTCTGTCAGTGGTCATAATTACTATCTCAGTTTCGTTGATGCTTATAGTCGCTTTACCTGGCTTTACCTTATTAAACGCAAATCTGATGTGTTTGATATTTTTGTTCAGTTTCAAAAACATGTTGAACGTCTTCTCAAGCACAAAATTGTTCATGTCCAGTCGGATTGGGGGGGCGAGTATCGCAACCTCAACTCTTTCTTTCAGTCGCTTGGGATAGCTCATCGTTTAGCATGTCCACATACACATCAACAGAATGGTTCAGTCGAACGTAAGCATCGTCATATTGTTGAAGCTGGTCTTACTCTTTTGGCCCATGCATCTGTTCCATTTCGGTTTTGGAGTGATGCTTTCACCACTGCATGCTTTCTCATCAACCGTACTCCTACTCGTGTTTTAAACATGAAGACTCCCATTGAGGTTCTCCTTAATGAACAACCTGATTATACCTTTCTCAAGGTATTTGGGTGTGCTTGCTGGCCGCATCTTCGTCCATATAACAAGCGCAAGCTTGAGTTTCGTTCTAAAAAGTGTGTTTTTCTTGGCTATAGCTCTCTTCATAAAGGTTACAAATGTCTTCATTTTCCCACTAATCGTGTCTATATATCTCGGGACGTCGTGTTTGATGAGCATGTTTTTCCCTTTGCCAACCTTCCTGTGTCAACTGTCGAACCACCATCCCTGCATTCATCCTCTGTTGCTTCTGACCAATTTGATGATGTTGCATACTCTCCTTTGCTGTTACCTAACCATGGTGCAGGAACCGGACGTGGAGCTCGTTTGGAGCTGTTGGAGGATTCACCATCATCATCGTCGTCTTCTGGTGGGCACGTCGATCGCCCTATGTTGCATGGCGTCGATTCGCGTGCTCATGCATGGTCACCCGACGAGCCCGTCGCGCCGAGCATCTCCACTGCTCGGTCCGCTACGCCAGCGATCGCCGAGTTTCCAGCGGCTCGGCCTTTTTCGCCAGCAGCCGCCGAGTCGCCCGCGGCTCGATCCGTCACGCCGTCTTCGCCTGCGGCTCGGCCCGTCACACCGTCTTCGCCCGCGGCTCGGGTCCTCACGTCGCCTTCATCCGCGGATCGGCCCGCGACACCGGCCGCGCCATGGCCCACTATGCCGAGCTCGCCAACGGCCCGGTCTGTGATGCCGGAGTCGCCAGCTGCTTCGTCTGCTCTGCCGGTTTCGCCGGTGGGCCGGCCTTCTTTGTCGACCGAGTCCGAGGCTACCGTGACTGGCTCCTCGTCACCGGCTGACTCGTCAACGTCGCCGTCCTCCAGCCCGTTGCAGGCTGCTCCGTCGACCTCGGTGGTTCCTGTGTCCCGACCACATACACGCAGTCGCAGTGGCATTTTCAAACCTAAGGAACGTAAGGATGGTACGGTTGCTTGGTTGGCTGCTTGTTTGGCTGCTGCTGTTGCGGATCCATCTTCTGAGCCTCGCTCATATCAGGCTGCCCTGCGAATTCCACATTGGCGAGAGGCTATGGAGCAGGAGTTTCATGCTCTTCTTCGTAACAAGACATGGACTCTCGTTCCTCCACCACCACGGGTAAATGTTATTGACTCAAAATGGGTATTCAAAGTGAAGAAGCATTCGGATGGATCTATTGAGCGTTACAAAGCGCGACTTGTTGCTCGCGGTTTTCGGCAGCGTCATGGTCTTGACTATGAGGACACCTTCAGTTCTGTCGTCAAGCCTACCACTATTCGGCTTCTTCTCTCCATTGCTGTTTCTCGTGGTTGGTCACTTCGTCAACTTGATGTGCAGAATGCTTTTCTACATGGATTTTTGGAGGAAGAGGTTTATATGAAACAGCCGCCTGGTTTCTCTGATCCTGATCGTCCTGACTATATCTGTCGTCTTTCCAAAGCACTATATGGTTTGAAGCAAGCTCCTCGTGCCTGGCATGCCCGCCTTGCCTCTGCTCTTCGTGCTCATGGGTTTGTGCCGTCCACTGCTGACACTTCATTATTTCTTCTACAGAAGCCAGAAGTCACTATGTACCTTTTGGTATATGTCGATGATATTATCCTTGTCAGCTCTTCTCAGTATGCTGCTAATGCTCTTGTCTGCTCTCTTGGTGCTGATTTTGCGGTCAAAGATCTTGGGAAGCTTCACTACTTTCTTGGAGTTGAGGTCACTTCTCGTGCTACTGGTCTTGTCCTTATGCAGAAGAAGTACTCCTTGGAGTTGTTACAAAGAGCTGGCATGCTGAAGTGCAAACCGACCACCACACCCATGTCGTCTACCGACAAGATAACAGCTGTTGATGGTGAGCTTTTGTCTCCTGCGGATGCCACAGAGTACAGGAGCATTGTTGGTGGACTTCAGTACTTGACGATCACGAGACCAGATATCTCTTATGCTGTTAACAGGGTTTGTCAGTATCTTCAGGCTCCCAGAGATACTCATTGGGCTGCTGTTAAACGCATTATTCGTTATGTTCAGTTCACCCTGACATTTGGTATGCATATTCGGCCGACTTCCTCTCGGGTCCTTTCGGCCTTCTCTGATGCAGATTGGGCTGGTAGCCCAGATGACAGGCGATCCACGAGGGGTTATGCAGTATTCTTTGGCTCTAATTTGATCGCCTGGAGTGCTCGGAAACAGGCTACTGTGTCACGTAGCAGTACTGAAGCTGAGTACAAGGCTGTGGCTAATGCTACTGCAGAGATTATTTGGGTGCAGTCTTTGCTTCAGGAGTTGGGTTTGTCTCAACTACAGCCTCATATTCTTTGGTGTGATAACATCGGTGCTACATACCTTTCTGCAAATCCAGTATTTCATGCCCGAACGAAACACATTGAAGTTGACTATCACTTTGTACGGGAACGTGTATCGCAGAAGCAACTCCAGATCAAGTTTATCTCATCTAAGGATCAACTTGCAGACATCTTCACTAAGCCTTTACCGCTGCCACAGTTTGAGGCTTGTAGGCGCAATCTTACCCTTCTCAGTTCTTTAGAAAGTGGCTAAGATTGAGGGAGGGTGTTAGACTATGTATAGCTTCTGTACTTATGTACGTATTGTAACACAACCATTATATATAATGAGATAAGCCACCCCTAGAGGGTTGTGCTGGTTCCCCAAAACTTATTGTCTTACAATCACGTCAAACTCGAGGAAAATCACCACTAGTTCATGACCAAATTCACCACCAAAACAGTTCAAAGTTGCTCATCAAGCCAAACTTGAGAGACAATCAACGAAATTCATGACCAATTTCACCACCGAATTAGTCCAGCACGCCAAACTTAAGGAGATCAACAAAGTTTTAGGACCACCAGATCAGTTCACCATGTGCCAAACTTGAGGAGATCAACAGAGTTTCATGACCAATTTCACCACCAAAGTAAGTTCATCATATGCCAAACTTGAGGAAATTAACAGATTTTCATGACCAATTTCATCACCAAAGTTCACCATATGCCATACTTGGGAAATTAACGGAGTTCGCGACAAATTTCACCACCAGTCGATCAGAAACCACGATCCAGGACGATCGACGAAGCAAAACAGGGCAGAAAGACACCAAACATGACCACATCAACAAGGCGTCTCTCACACTCTCGCGCCGGCCATCCTCCATGAGCACTGCTACTACCACTACTCGACTCGATCCGTCTTCCACGAGCACTACCACTACGACTACTGGACTCGCCTCCCTACTCGATCTTCACCTGGAACACGTCCTTGCGCTCCTCCTCCTTCAGCCTGGGCACGGTCACCCTGAGCACGCCGTTCTTCATCTCGGCCTTGATCTTGTCCATCTTGAACGCGTCGGCGGGCACCTTGATGCGGCGGCTGTACCTCGGCATCGCGGAGTCGTCGTCGCCGTCCCAGGGCTCCTTCTCGCCCTCGCCCTTGATCACCAGGCCGTTCGGCTCGGCCCACACCTTCACGTGCTCCTTCCCCAGCCCCGGCATCGGCACCTTGAGGTACACCGCGTCGTCGTCCACCTTCGACACCCAGCGTCCGAGCCGCGACGCCCCGGCAGTGGAGGAGAGGCCGGTCGGAGCGGCAGCGTCCTCCAGCGCAGAAAGCAGGCGGCTCAGGCTCGTGTGCGCGCCGAACTGGTCGAGCACGTCTGGAGAATCAAGAACGAGAAAAGCTGATCATAACCCCGATCCGGTCCACGATGCTAAGTTGTTAACACAAACGCAAACAAACGTCTCGGGACAGGCGACGAGGCATACCCTGCGAGAAGCTGGGGACGAAGAAGTCGCGGGCGCGGCGGCGGTCGTCGGAGTCGGTGTCCTCGTACTCGCTGCCGCTCTCGCCACTGGAGGAGTCGGAGTCGTCGTCGTCGTAGAGGCGGCCCTCCTTGCCCAGGGTGTTGTACGGGCGGCGGGCGGCGGTGACGGCGGCGGGACGGAGCGCGAAGGACACGGGCGCACCCGGCGCGGACGGCTTGGCGAGCAGCTTCTTGAGGAGGCTGGGCAGCGCGGCACCCCTGCGAGCGACGGCGGAAGCCATGGTCCCTCTCTCTCCCTGCCTCGCTCTCTTCTCTCTCTCTCTCCCCTCTCTGCTGCGAATTTGGATTCTAGCGGAGTGGGTGAGAAATGGAGGGGGGGTTTGTAAACGGGGAGCGGGAGAGATTTCGTGGGGGAGGGGATGGGGGAGGGTTTAGAAGGTTCTGGAGAGCACGGGTGGGGCCTCGAGTCTTCCAGAGAGACCGGGAGACCACAGGTTCGCGATTCGTGCTGGTTGATGTACGATCAGGGCGCAAGGGTCGTGGTAGGTTTTGATCTGCTGAGAGAGGTTGCTCTACGCTAGGAATGATTTGCGGAAAAACGTCCACACGTGTGGTAGTTTTGTAACTCATTTATAGACATGGATTATCGTCCAATGCAGTTTACACAAATCTTGACATATTGAGACAGAATTTGCATATCACGTATGACATGGCTGGTGTATGGGCGTTATAGAGTTTACCTAGACGCCCCGCATCATGCTGCTCGCCAGCTGTGTTGTATGGGCGAACTAGTTTCTGCCCACACAGCCACGACCTAGTCCATGCGCACGTGGACGAACTGCTTTTCGCCCACACGACACTTTTGCATTGTGGATGGCAACTGCAATTACGCGAACGTGGCAACTAGATAAACACACATGGCAACTGTGATTCTTTACTAGACGGCAACTGTAGTTGCGCGTACGTGGCAACCAGATAAACACACATGACAACTATGATTAATCATACATGGCAACTATGGTTGGACCACACGTGGCAATTAGGTAAACACACATGACAACTACTGTTTAACCATATGTGGTAAGTAGTTAATCACACACGACAACTACGGTTTAATTACATGCGGCAACTACCATAAATTAGACATGACAACTATAGTTAACCAAAACAGATAGAGTTGCCATGCTTTTACAACTACACTTGCCATCCCGGATAACTACATCTGCCATCCAAGATGACAACTAAATCGTCATCTTGCGAGTACCTAACGTAGCTGCGTCAGGACGTGTGGGCATTTTTGCTTCGTACCACCCGCACGGAGTGAAAATGAGTAGTACTTGTTGGGCGTGTGGTACGAAGTAGCTGCGCCCACATGTGTGGGCAATTCTAATATCCGCCCACACACAGCCTGTGTGAGTTGTCTTCTGCTCATGCCACACACGGGTTGCCTTCTGTTCATACCACACACGGTGTGTGGGCGCATGTCTAATATACCACACGTGTGGTAGATATCGACGTCCATGATTTGTTCTCAAAGAAAGAACGCTGTTATACACACCATATATTACTGAAATCACTAATTAAGAAATACTCGTTGCAAAGATCACTCAAATTCTTTTGGTTGCGACAAGTGGCGCGCTCGCATGCGCGAGCGCGCCACTTGTCGCAACCTGGGAGTTTTCCTTTTTTTTGTAAATCTGTTTATTCAAAACGTTTTATCTCTCAAACCATGCGTTGAAATCTCGAACCGCTTTTATCGTTGGATTCCTCGCGTTGAGATCTTCAAAACTAGATTCCATATTGATAGGTTTTGATGAACTTTTTTGCACAAAAAAACTGGACGAAAAAACCGAACCGGGAGCACGGGTTTTTTCCCTTTCTGAAAGAGGCACACTCATGCCTCTTACGAAATCACAACTGTGCCTCTCGTGGAAGCAAAATCGTGCCTCCCGCGGAAGCAAAACCGTAACTCTCGTGGAAAGAAAAAAAAAGAGAAAACGCATTTTTTCCGTTTCCGAGGAGGCACGGCCGTGACTCTCGTGAAAGCACAACCGTGCCTCTTACGGAAGCAAAACCATGACTCTCACGAAAAAATATAGAAAACACATTTTTTCCCTTTCCGAGAGGCACGGCCATGACTCTCGCGAAAGCACAACCGTGCCTCCTGTGGAAGCAAAACCGTGACTCTCGCGAAAGAAAAAAACGTATTTTTTTGTTTTTGAGAGGCACGGCCGTGACTCTCGCGGAAACAAAACCATGACTCTCGCGAAAGAAAAAAAAGTAGAAAACACATTTTTTTTCCTTTCCGAGAGGCACGGCTGTGACTCTCGCGAAAGCACACCCGTACTTCTCGCGGAAGCAAAACCGTGACTCTTGTGAAAGAAAAAAAAGGAAACGCGTTTTTTTTCGAGAGGCACGACCGTGACTCTCGCGAAAGTAAAACCTTGACTCTTGCGGAAAAAAAACGTGTTTTTTGCGCTTTTTTTAAATTTTTTTATTGAAAGGTTAAGGAAGACCGATGAAAAACCAAAAACGTCGAAAAAACACATGCGAAAAAATAAAAAAATAAAATCCAGAGAAAGCGCCCAGAGCATGACACATAACAAATAGCTGAGAACGCGTCAAATGGCGCTGATCGTTGCGAGGCTCCCGAAGAAGCGTTCGTTAACTAGTTGCTCACATATATTACAACCGATGCATGCACGGTCGCAGAGCCAACAGCGAGGCTGCAATCAGGAGAGGAGTTGTTTTTTTTTCCTTGCTGGTGCGAGTAGTGTCGGGTGTGAGCAATTTGGTTCTCAAAATTGGCTTACTTTGGTATTCTTGCATCATGTGCTTGGTCCTTTTTCTGCATGTGTTTAGTCCTTGGTAAGATAGAAATCAATGTTTAGTGTATGTGCGTTTTTGTGAGCATTTGCGCATGTACCATGTTAAAAAACATAGCCATTTTCTAAAAATATATTGTCACCACTGTTTTTGTTACTTCCTTTGTCATGATTTTTTGGCCCTGCCCAAATTTTTAACCTAAATTAAACCAAAAATTTCAGCAATCAAATATGAGTTATACTCCCTGTGTAAACTAATACTCCCTTCGTTAAAGTTAGTACAAAGTTGAGTTATTTATTTTGAGACGGAGGAAGTATAAGATATTTTTAACCAAAAATTTGAGTATGTCACATAGGTATATTCACTAGCGGAGCTACATCAAAATGACTGGGCGGGCCAGCTTGAAGAAAGCCCAACGTTTTTTTCCTCTATGGCCCATTTCTGCCTAAAGGCCCATTGGTTTGCAGCAAAACTGGGCGGGCCATAGCCCAGTTTTGCTTGCACTAAGCTCCGCCAGTGGGTATATTACTGATTTCATATTCAAAAGAAGTTTGCAATGGTATATTTTTCATGGAATATAGCCAATAATTTATTAGACAAATTTTGATCAAAGTTATACTCA